TTGGAGCAGTTGATTATCTTCTCAAGCTTCAGCTTGTTCATCTCTAAAATGGGGGGAAATGGTGTTAAGCTTACACGGTTGATGTAAGGAATTTTTTAAATATATGAAAGAAACACTTGGCATACAGTAGGTAAATAATAAATATTGGTTCCTTTTCTGATGACTTATAAGATGTGAGAGTTTTTTCCTTTTTAGTCATTTCATGATTCTTGCCAGTCTCCTGAGGAATAAAGTGAACGGCTCAGACAGACTTTTTCCTAACTTTTTACAATCCTACAACAGCAGTCTATGCAATGAAATGATTCAGAGTAGGCCAGTCACCTCAACCATGCAAATACAGCCCCTTTCCTTCCCCAGTAGCTTTAATAAAGAATAAATAATACTCTCACCCTTTCTCTCCACTTTAGATTAGAAACAGTCAAATGCCCCAATAAGCCCTCCTAGGACCAGTACAAGGAGTAATAGGCAAGGCACAGAGCTTCAAGTTCTCCAGTTACTGATGTGTCATAGTCACTAACTACAGATACCGCTACAACCTAGTTCCTCACTCCCATAGACATTAGGTACATATATGACGTTTTTGTTGTTAGGTGCCATCGAGTCAATTCAGACTCATAGCGATCATATGAACAATAGAACAAAACACTGCCTGATCCTGCACCATCCTCATGATTATTATGCTTGAGCCCATTGTTGCAGCCACTGTGTCAATCCATCTCATTGAGGGTCTTCGTCTTTTTCACTGGCCCTCTAGCTTATCAAGCATGATGTCCTTCTCCAGGGACTGATCTCTCCTGATAACACATCCAAAGTAAGTGAGACAAAGTCTTGCCATCCTTGCTTCCGAGGAGCACTGTTGGCTGTACTTCTTCCAAGACAGACTTGTTCATTCTTCTGACAGTCTGTGATATATTCAGTATTCTTCAACAACACTATAATTCAAAGGCATCAATTCTTCAATCTTCTTTATTCATTGTCCACCTTTCACATGGCATATGAGGCCATTGAAAACACCATGGCTTGGGTCAGGTGTACTTTTGTCTTTAAAGTGACATCTTTGCTTTTTAACACTTTAAAGAGGTCTTTTGTAGCAGATTTGCCCAATGCCATGCATTTTTTGATTTCTTGACTAGTGCTTCCATGGGCATTGATTGTGGATTCAAGTAAAATGAAATCCTTAACAACTTCAGTCTTTTCTCCATTTATCATGATGTTGCTTATTGGTCCAGTTATGAGGATTTTTGTTTTCTTTATATTAAGTTGTAGTCCATACTGAATGCAATAGTCTTTGATCTTCATCAGTAAGTGCTTCAGGTCCTCTTCACTTTCAGCAAGTAAGGTTGTATCATCTGCATATTGCAGGTTGTTAATGAATCTTCTTCCAATCATGATGCTGTGTTCTTCATATAGTCCAGCTTCTCGGGTTATTTACTCAGTGTACAGATTAAATAAGTACTGTGAAATGATACAGCCCTGATGCACACCTTTCCTAACTTTAAACTATGTAGTATCCCCTCGTTCTGTTTGAATGACTGCTTGTTGGTCTATGTACAGGTTCTGCATGAGTACAATTAAGTGTTCTGGAATTCCCATTCTTCGTAATGTTATCCATAATTTGTTATGATCCACGCAGTCAAATGCCTTTGCATAGTCAATAAAACACAGGTAAATATCTTTCTGGTATTCCCTGCTTTCAGCCAGGATCCATCTGTTACCAGCAATGATGTCCCTCTTTCCACATCCTCTTCTGAATCAGACTTGAATTTCTGGCAGTTTCCTGTGGATGTACTTCTGTAACTGCTTTTGAATAATCTTCAGCAAAATTTTGTGTGTCATATTAATTATATTGTTCAATAATCTCCACATTCTGTTGGATTACCTTTCTTTGGAATGGGTACAAATATAAATCTCCAGTCGGTTGGCCAAATAGCTGTCTTCCAAATTTCTTGGCATAGACGAGTGAACGCTTCCAGTACTGTATGCATTTGTTGAAACATCTCAGTTGGTATTCTGTCAATTTCTAGAGCCTTTTTTTCCGCCAATGCCTTCAGTGCAGCTTGGACTTCTTCTTTCAGTATGGTCAGTTCTCGATCATATATATGCTCCCTCCTGAAATGGTTGAACAGCGACCAATTCTTCTAGTTACAGTGACTCTGTGACTCCTTCCATCTTCTTTTGATGCTTCCCATGCTGTTCAATATTTTCCCTGCAGAATCCTTCAGTATTGCAACTTGAGGCTTGAATTTTCTCTCCAGTTCTTTCAGCTTGAGAAATGCTGAGCGTATTCTTCTCTTTTGGTTTCCTAACTCTAGGTCTCTGCACATTTGACTATAATACTTTACATTAGTTCCCATAATTGGCTTCCAGTTAGAAGCGTTTGACCAGAGGCCAGACCCATGCCTCTTCTTACTCTCCCAATCCCTCTTAACCGTAGAGATTTAGAGACTACCCTGACCTGAGTTCTCTCTGCTATGGAAAAACAAGCTGTAGAATTTATACACTGATTCCAGATGACAAATAATAATAATAATAAGGAAGCACAATAGGAGTCACCCTGTTGAAGGGAAATTTAAAAGCAGTATTCCTGTATTAAAAAAAAAAAACAACCCACAAATCCTGCTTAGCATTGCTATATATCTAATATGTAAAAGAATAATAATTCCCAGATCAGAGCATCATACATCACAAACATAGGAAATGGGTTGGCAGACTTCCTGAGCCACCTCACTTCAGTGGTCATTCAGCTAGAAATGGGACTGTTTGTTAGTATCTAATTTTTAGGGTCCTTTTCCACTTGAGCCTCACAACGTCATAGGATGATGCTGTTCACTGTTTTTGTTCATTGAGAAGCTGAGGTTGGTTAACCTCCCCAGGATTGTGAAGGTAGTGTGGCCAAGCTAGTATTTTTTACTTTAGGTTATTCTTGGGTAAATACTAATGCTCTAGTGTATGACCGTTATAATTACTAGAAGTTTTAAAACAAACTATTTTGAGGATGGGGGCATTTCACTAACTTTTACCTCATTGACCAGGTTAATACATAGCAAATGTGCAATAACTTACTTCCTTTCCTTTAACCTCCTGCTTTAATAAGGGTGGATGGATACGCTTTTCTCATTACAATTTGCTGACTTCAGACACTCTTTTATTGGAATGTGGAACTGTCTGTAGTCATATCTTGTAATTACGTAAGTAACCTGAGATTTTTCTAACACAGACCTGTTTTCAGGTATTCTTCCTTATTCTCAGAAATCATGAAATATCAGAAATGTCAATATCCCAACCATTTCCTGGCTCCCAGATTGCCACCCTGAAGTGGTCCAAGCATCCATTACCAGCTAAGCACTGGCTACTCTTTTTTTGTTCTAAAGGTTTGGTTACCACCCATGTTTCTGGCAGGAGACAAACTACCATCCAGATACAGGAGGCCCTAATGTTAGGTAGGAAGCAGATCAGTCATGAATGCACCTATAAGATTAGACTTCTGCCGCTTTTTCAGAATACCCTACACTGCAGATGTGATTGTGAGCAAGATACAGTCCATATATCTGACTATCTGAAGAGATCACCAGATAAAAAACCATTTCCATGCCATTTGATAAATGTTACAAAGCATGCTATGGGAGCACATTCAAAAGGGAACCTAACGGAGCCTGAGAAAGAAGAGGCAAGATCGTGGAAAGTGATGAAGAAACTGATGTTTAAGCCTTGACTTAGAAGACGAATAGAAGTTAGTCATATGGGAAGATTCAGACAGTGAGATACAGGTATGGATGCCTAGATGTGAGAAAGTAAAGCACATTCAGGGAGCTGTAGGCTTGGTGGAGCATGAAGGGTGTCCAAGGCAGATTATGAAGAGCCTAGAAAGCCATGTTAAGGAGCTGAAACTTAGAGCAATGTGAAACTATTAAAGGATTCTAAACTGGGGAATGACGTGATCAGGTTTTACAAAGATCAGTCTGACTGCAGGTTAAGAGAATGGATTAGAGGGAGAAAAGGTTGGAGGTGGAGAAACCAGATGGGCTTGAGCCAGAGGAAGGGCAGCAGCGAGGGAGAGTTCAGTTTAAAGTGTTGAGTTCAAGGTGTCTATGGAACAATAAATGGAAACGTTCAGTAGGCAATTAGATACTCAGATCTGGCACCGAGGAGAGAGTCTAAAAATACAGATCTGGAGAGTCATCAAAAATAGTTGATAATTTAAGCCATAGGAGTAGATGATGTCACGCAGAGAAAGTTTGCAGATTGAGGAGAATCTGGAGAATAGAACAGTGGGACACGGACACTTCATATGTGCCCTGAGAAGAGGAGGCAGTGAAGGAGACTGAGCAGTGACAGAGAGGTAGAAGAAAACTGAGGAGAAAGAGAGAGGTGTCACAGACTTCAATAGTCGGTGAAAGTATCACGTATTATAAAAAGTGCATACTTTCCTCTGTGCCCTTTCACACTTTGAAAAGGCCATGTGGACCCTCTCATATCATTCTCTTACAAATTGGAAAATGCTTAAAAGTGTTCCCTTGGGAGAATGATGATCACACCCAGGTTTTTACTAGTTGCAATTTAGATTAATGTCTCAGCCCATCAAAGAAATGTGACCATTTTGTAAGGGACATTTAAGACATAATCATAGTTTTTTTTTTTAAGTATAAATTCATAAAGAGACATTACAGCCAGAAACGTAGCTGGTCTCTGGGGTTTGAGACATTTAGGCTGTGCTCTGAAGATTGTGTGTGACGAAACACAATGTTTGTTTAAATGCCTAGCACACAGAAACTAGTTATCTTTGTTCCTAATGATTTTTTTTTTTTTTTTTGTCCCCATATGATGAAGTGCTTTGTGACTTCTCAGTCATCCAAGTGTGAGATTGGTCCAGGATGAAAGCCTCTCTCCCTGTCTGCCACTCAGGCTCCTAGACAATGCTTTTCTCTCTCTCTCTTCTTTTTCCCCTTCCCTCCCTCCTTTCCTTCCCTTCTCCTCTCCCCCCTTTCTTTCTTTTCCTTCAGCATTACACCCACACCCATCATGTGAAAGTTACAGAGGACAATATGACTTTGACACTGACTTGGCCCTCACAGGACTCTAAACCAGACAGTGGGCATGCGGAGGGGTGGGTGAAGGACAGACATCTCATTCAGCATGGTCATTGACAGGTGATACAAGCACTACCTTTAGCAGACATGTTAGTAAAGCCTGGAAATGAGAGGAAATCAGAAAATCGCCCCCCACCAATGAAAACTCTGATCCTTATATTAGTGAGAAAAATCGAAGAAGTATGGAAGAATGGAAGCCCTGGTGGTGCAGTGGTAAGAGTTTGATGAGTACTCAGATTTTTTTCCTGCTTAAAACACTCTGATAAATTAATACTCCTTAAGTTTCTTCAGATTATTGAGTCAAGGCATCCTATAATCTTTAAGTTACAAGGGCTGCTGATGGATATCTGCTCCCCCAACTCCCTTCCAGTGGCGCTGCATAATCATTAAATGATAGATCCTAACTTCCTGGTTCATTCGCCAGATTTATCCTGGACACCTTCCTGTCCCCTGCTGAAATCTGAGGCCTTGCTGAAAAAGCATTTCAAGTCCTACTATGTATAAGTGACCCGCTCTACATGGATAAAGGAGGGTTAAAATGCAAAGTGTTTCAGTGCTAACAAAGAATAGAATAGTCCTCCTACCACAGCTGGTACCTCACCGTCATTGCAGTGTGTCAGATAGTCACCACATGCATGCTGACTGAATACATTAATATAAAAATTGAAAGCTGTCTAATAAAAAACTGAAGCTGTCTACTTTTAGAAAGAGTGTTGTTGTTAGCTGCCATCAAGTCAGTTCCGACTCATAGTGACCCTACCTACAACAGAAGGAAGCACTGCCAGGTCGTGCACCATCCTCACAATCAGTGTTATGATTGAGCCCATTGTTGCAGCCACTGTGTCAATCCATCTTGTTGAGGGTATTCATCTTTTTTGATGACCCTCTACCAAGCATGATGTCCTTCACCAGGGACTGGTCCTTCCTGATAACATGTCTAAAGTAACTGAGACAAAGTCTTAAACATCCTTGCTTCTAATGAGTATTCTGGCTGTACTTCTTCTAAGACAGATTTGTTTGTTCTTTTGGCAGTCCATGGTGTATATTCAGTATTCTTTGCCAACACCATAATTCAAAGGCATCTTCATTCTTCTTCGGTTTTTCTTATTCATTGTCCAGCTTTCTCATGCATATGAGGCAATTGAAAACGCCATGGCTTGGGTTGGGCACACCTTAGTCTTTAAAGTGACATCTTTGCTTTTTAACACTTTAAAGAGATCTTTTGCAGTAGATTTGCCCAGTGCCATGCATCGTTTGATTTCTTGACTACTGCTTCCATGGGCATTGATTGTGGATTCAAGTAAAATGAAATCCTTGCCAACTTCAATATTTAGAAAGATATCCAACCAGAAATACGTATAATTAAAAGGAAAATAAAAGATAGTCACCAAATTATCAAAAATGCTTCTAATGCCGTTTTTAAAAATCAGGAATAGACAGTTTTGGACCCAGTTTACTCTAATTAGTGACATTTTTATTAATATCCTTATAGCTTCAAGCAAGAACTTGCCCTCGGTTCTCCATTCTATATTCTTTCAGAGAAAATCAAGACCATTTCAAATTTGCTTTAAATGGTTTTGATTAGATACAACAATTTTACCTGTTTCTACATGAAGGTAAACACTTTGAAAACTGGAATTTGAGTACGTTTTTAAATGATGTTGATGAACTTTAACTGAGATTTGGTCACTTTCCAAACGTACTTTGTATCCATCCGCCTGTGAGTGCACATTTTCAGACTGGGTGCCAATTATTTATACATATGTAGGTGATTTTTGTGTTAGCGTGTTATGATTCAACTTCATAGTGCAGAATTTTAATTAGCAAGCATATGAAAAATAAGAAAGCTTTTCATTTCCTGCTTTAACTGAATTTAAAATAAATAGCATTGTAAATCACGTTCTTGGTGCTTGTAAGGGTAGTAGAGTGCTCTAATGAATCGTACTAGATAAAAGATGTAGATTGCAGTGAACACAGGTGACAGTAACATTTTTAGGTGTCATTTTCACCCTTCATTTGTTTGAGAAAATGGGTAGTAATTAGATGTCGTGGAGCATTTTCTTTTCTTATGGAAAATGTCTTGGTTGAATTTATCTTGCTCTCTGTTTCACATTTAGTTTCACAGCAAATAGTCTTAGGTCTGAAATGATTTGATTATGATAATTTACCCCTTATTTCTTTTTCCCCAGTTCCACCACATAAGCATCATCTTCTGCTTTCAGTAGTGCAAAAAAAAAGATGTCAGAATAATCTCCAAAGGATAAAGTCAGTTCTTTTTATTCAATTTTGAATCCTAGTGTTTCCATTGTACCCTTGGCTTTGCTCATTTTCATGGACTTGCAACTTCAATTTCCAGTAGGAATTCAGAATGCTGAAGGTATTTTAAAGTTTTTATTTTACCCCTTTATTTAATGGTAAAATGATGTCACCATCAGCTAGAAAACAGAAGGCTTATTAGACTTAAAATTTCTAGGCTTCAGTGTGGTCCTTGTGAAATAGATCCTGCTTCTGTTTCTGCCCTAGCAGTATTTTCTTTCCGATACAAGTTAAACTAGCAGTGTGTCTTAAAGTTTTGGACACTGCCTTGGGCTAGACTTCTCTTCAAAAAGCTCTGATGCAGTTATCCCAAGTTGACAATTGTTAGCTTTCACTTAGGGCTATCATAAATATTGTATTTTAAAATTCTTTGTACTTTTAGGGTGATCTAAGAATGTCATCATTAAAGTTTGGTTTTAAACCAAAACATCAGCAGTGAGAATATGCTTCAGGAATATTTATAGAGGCTCCAAGTGTGCAGGTCTAAGTTTTCTAGTATTAATAGCTACCAGTTGGCCTTTGGTTTCTTATTCACCTCTAGTAGTTTGTTAGACGTGATATAGTTGGGAGTTGAAACTATAGGAGTAGTTGCGATTATTCCCAAGGGATGCTTGTGGAATGAAAAAGGAAGAAGGCCAACAGCAGAACTAACATTTGAAGGGCAGGCCAAAGAGGAGGTAGCAAAGTAATGATCAGAGAGATGGAGAGAAATCAGAGGAGTAAAGTAACAGGAAGCCAAAGAATTTCAAGAGGAATATTTTCAACTTCTTCAGGTGCCAGAAAACTAAAAAGAATCTAACGAATTTTGCAGTTAAGAGATCAGTGATGACCTTTGTCAGAGCAGTTTTAATGATGTGTGCAAATGGACTCCAGGTAGCAGGGGGACAAAGAGTAAACTGGAAATGAGTACATAAAAGCAGCTAATGCAGGCTACTAACTCAATGGATGTAAAAGAGAAGAGAGAGGTGGCAGCTAGTGGAGAAGGCAATATTCAGGAAGGACTATAATCTTACAGAGAGACCTTGACTGTATTTATAGACTGTCGGAAAGAAGCCAGTAGATAGGGAACAGTTAGAAACATAGGAGAAGCAAACATAAAAAAAGTAGGAGAAACACGTTGTTGTTAGTTGCCGTCCAGTTGGTTCTGACTCATAGCAACCCTGTGTACAACAGAACAAAACACTGCCCAGTCCTGTGCCATCCTCACAGTCGTTGCTGTGTTTGAGCCCATTGTGATAGCCACTGTGTCAATCCATCTTACTGAGGGTCTTCTTTTTTTTTTGCTGGCCCTCTACTTTACCAAGCATGATGTCCTTCTAAAGGGTTTGGTCCCTCCTCATAACATATCCAAAGTTCATGAGACGAAGCAGTCTCCCCATCCTTGCTTCCAAGGAGCACTCTTGGCTGTACTTCTCCCAAAACAGGCATGTTTGTTCTTCACCAACACTATAATTCAAAGGCATCAATTCTTCGATCTTCCTTATTCATAGACCAGCTTTCACATGCATATGAAGCAATTGAAAATACCATGGCTTGGGTCAGGTGCACCTTAGTCCTCAAAGTGACATCTTTGCTTTTTGATACTTTAAAGAGGTCTTTTGCAGCAGATTGCAGATTTGCCCAGTACAGTAAGTCATTTGATTTCTTGACTGCTGCTTCCATGGCTGTTGATTGTGGATGTCAAGAAATCCTTGACAGCTTCAATCTTTTCTCCATTTATCATGATGTTGCTTATCAATCCAATTGTAAGGATTTTTGTTTTCTTGATGAAATAAACTGGAATTAAGATAAAAGCCAAAATCACAGACCTAGCATAGCAAAAAAAAAAATACTGCAAATTTCTAGGCTAGCCTCTATGCAAATTCAAATATCAGATGTGTTAGGGATCATTATCTATGGAACTTAGGAGCCCTGGTGGTGCAGTGGTTAAGCACATGGCTGCTAACTGAAAGGTTGGTGATTCAAACCCACCAGTCCCTCTGCAGGAGAAAGATGCAGCAATCTGCTTCCGTAAAGATTACAACCTTGGGAACCCTATGGGGCAGTCTCATTCTGCCCTATAGCATTGCTGTGAGTCAGAATCGACTCGATGGCAATGGGCTTTTTGGGTTTTATATATAGGGAAATGGAGGTAGCATGTACATTCCTTGCAGATAATTTTGGCCCTTGTCATTTATTTCTATCTTATTAAATTGTATTTATTATTAAATATTCCCATCTGCCTCATTTATTCTCTACTACCTCCATTCCATTCTGAAAACTAAGTGGTTAAATTGGATGGGGGCCAGATATGCTTGGTTCTGTTACAGGTAATCATAAGGCTGGGGGGAATTTGGTAGTCATGCTACCTCCAGTTAAAACTCGTACTCTAATAAAAATTTCCCTAGAAGGGAATTTGTGAATCTTTGGAATGCTTAATCACTGAGAAAAATCTCATTAAAAAAAGATAAGAAAGACCCTCAAAACATAACTAGATTGTAGTTTTATGCATTAATAGATGCTATAGAAGAACAGATACATATTAATAGATTGTATTTATTTTAAGATTTTCTTTTCATTCTCCTTCTTTATTCATCATACCTCTCTAGAAGACTGTCATTGTCAATATCAGTTCTTAGCCTCTGAGTCTTAATAAAAAAATAAGACTTCCGGTTACAAGCCCAAGGTGGATATTTTATCATTTAAGTTTGGGTAATCTTTT